CCCCCCCCGAGAATGGCCATTACACAATCCCTTGTCTCCTCTCAAGATTTGGAGCACATGCCCAGGGTAATCCTTAAGTCTTGGGGACCAGGACTCGAACCGCACACACAGCCATGTGGGAGCCATCACTTTAACCTCCATGCCACCTCTGGCCCCATAGGCAACTTATCATACATTCAACTGAACATAAATACCATCTGCTCACCACCAATCCCAGCCCTCACCATGAGGGCTCACCTTGTGTGGAGGCACCTAGTAGTCTGGCACTCTCTAGCCTGACTGGTCTCTGTCCTTCAGTCCTCCCCTTGTGTTCAGCAGCACTAGGCCAGGCTGCCCTGGGGAGCACCCAGGTGTTGTGGGGAAGTAGGTCTGAGGCTGAGGGGGTGGTTTGGAAAGGCCTGTCAGCAATGCCTGTGAGTTCAGGGCTGGTCACAGCCACACATGGTTCTGGGTAGGGGCACTCGATCTGAGAGGCCCCACTCAGTCACCAATGGGGAACACAGGCAGGGGCGGCATAGGTGAGGTCTAGCAGAGGGTGTGAGTGACTCTGCTAATTGAGGTGGTGGCTTAGGGGGTCCAAGGCAGTGCTGTGTCCATACTTCTAGCCAAGGGGACCAGGCATCCACTCACGGGGTCCTCTCGAGGGGCAGCGGGTCCTGGCCCAGTGGACGGCAGTGGCTATGGGACCACGAGTCCCTGGAGTGGGCCAGCCGTAGTGGCCTGCAGCAGCACAGCCATGCAGAAAGGCCTTGCTTGGATGGGCTGCACCACGGCCTTGGGGTGGGGTGTTGGTCTGCTTGCCGCTGGAAGGGCGGCCCCTCTGAGCAAGGCTCCTGTGCAGTTGAGAGGTGGCAGAGGTGGTCCAGCCGTAGTCCAGGATGGCTGACAGCAGTGCCTGGGTACTGGGCAGTCAGTGCAGGCTAGCGCTGTTAACTGGACTTAAAGGTGAGGCACCTTGCAGGATGTGACAGAAGTCCTTGCAGGGACGGTCTTCTCGGGACCTCAGCAGTCCCCAGGCAGGGGCCCCATCAACCCCATCCTGGTGAAATCCAGCCCCACAACAGCTTGGTGCAGCTGACACTGGTTAAGTTTTCAAAGTTACAGAGATTTCTGTTCTTAAAAAAAGTTCCTGTGGCTCAAGAAATTGAATATGCGAATGGCATTTAGTGAGCGCACTCCACGGTATGGCCCCTGCTGTCAGCCACTTACTGGCCGCCTCCCGCTTTTCGCAGGTCTATACTGTGTCCGGAGGTACAGGTGCTATGAGGACTAGCCCTATTTTCCCTGTTCCCTGCTGTCTCCTCTCCACTGGTAGACCTTTTGCTGTTCACATGCCTGTGTGGACATACACCTTGATTAAGTCAGGCTGTTCTCTGGGGAACCTCGGAGGGCCCTCAGGGACCACCCACCTCTGCCTACGCCACAGGGTGAACCTCAGACTCACACCCATGCCTTTTCCCTCAGGACGTTCTAGAGTCAAAAAATAACACCATCAAGGACTTGCAGTATGAGCTGGCCCGGGTCTGCAAGGTACGTGCTGCCCTCTGCCTCCTTTGACGACATTCATTCTGTCATTATCTTAAATGCAGGTGGACTCTGGGGACCCCACCTGCCCCTGCTTCATACCCTGTGTGCTGAGTCACTGTCCCGTGTGAGGGTGTGTGCACATGCCGACCACGTGGCATAGCCTGTGATCTGGGGCACAGTGCTGTTGCACAGAGAGAGTCCTAATGGATTTAGCTTTATTCCCTTACACAAGGGATGCCAGGACACCACTTCCTGCCTTCCCACACCTCCACAGAGCTGAGGTAGTCCAGGTGGAGACAGGCCAGGCAGACCTGCCCTCCCCAACACCACCTTGTCCTTGCAGGCCCATAACGACCTGCTGCACACGTACGAGGCGAAGTTGCTGGCCTTTGGGGTCCCCCTGGACAACGTGGGATTCAAGCCCCTGGAGACAGCTGTGGTTGGACAGACTCTGGGCCAGGGCCCTGCAGGACTTGTGGGCACCCCGACCTAACCACCCTGCTCAGAGGCCACTCTGGATGACACCTAGTTCACACAGTAAGGATGGCAACCTTTTGCTTTCTGATTTTGTTGTCTGCAAATGAAAGTTTTTCACACTTCCTTTTGCCTGGCTCTGTGGAGACAACCTGCATGGCCTCTGTCCTGGGCGTTCTGGTCTGCTTCCTTCCCAGGTACTGCCGAGCCTGTGCTCACACCCCCTCCCAGTCCTGCCTCCAGCCACGGTCAGCAGAGCCTTCTGTGGCTGGCCCGCCCCCCACACCCCGGGAGGAGGCCCGCCCAC